AAAAAAAAAAAAAAAATGTTTGCAGATCACCAGTTCATTGACTATTTATACAGGGAACTAAATATTTATTATGGGGAACTAAATGTTACTGCTCTACTAAAAGAGTCAGGAGAGATTTACACTTGTGGCCATACATGCTGCGTTTTCTCTTTTCCAGTTTTTGTTTGGGTGTTTTAATCAGAATTTACATCTCAGTTTACATTAGTTGCTGCAGTAGGTTTTGTTGGGGTAAAATGTTTATCTGTTTATCAAAAAATGCTTGTCTGTTTATTTCTATAAACAAAGAATAAACATTTAAAAATAATAAAAGCCATTCAGCTCAGCTCTACTTTATCAGAAGTAAAACTGTTTTACAGCATTAACTATTAGACTCGATCAGTAGCAGATAGACAGTGGTGGTCCAGAAGGACCAACTTGCTACTGTGTGCAAGTTTTTACTTTCCTCCCAAACAGCTATAAATGAGCCTGAAATTCAAAACAAATCAAACTACTTCTTCTTTTTCTTTTTTTTTTAGTAGGTGCGATGTGTACACAACTGAGAGAAATATTTGTGAAAATATGAGGACAGCTCCCCTCTGAGTACACAGGGTACATTATAATCTGGGCAAGGCCTGGCGGGGTTATGTGCTTGCATGTGTGTGTTTGCTTAAGTGAGTGTTTGGAGGTCGGATGCCTCTTTCTCCACTGAGACCCTCACACCACAGACCTCAGTGAACCAGCAGAAGATCAGCAGCATCTCATTGCACGGCTTCACAGACTATTCACAGGTAAACAGCTGCAGAGTTTGATTCTGGTTTCAGAAGATTTCTAGTATATATCTAAGATATTGTGAATAGTTATAGACATATTATTCACTTTATTTATTGTTTAAGAGATTTCACTTTTGCAACATAGACAAAAAAAAAACTACAGCATTGGTGGGCGTTTTCTTCATTTAGGAGGGAGACATGAAGCTGCTGGTGTTTCTCGGTATTGTCTTCTGCCTCTTTGCCTGTCATCTCAGTGGTGAGTTTTTCTTCTTTTAATCCACAGAAAATATGTTCCCTTGAATTCAAGAGTTGGTGTGTTGAGTTTGTTCATGCAGTGCAAACATTAATAAGTTTTAAGACTAAGTTTGATATATGTACAGGTAGAAATGTCGGTGAAAATAGCTGGAAATCATGTGATGTGACAGTGCTGCTGGAGAGGATTTGTTTTGTGTACAAAGAGGACTCTGACTGAGTCTCCATCATAAATTCCTTCTGGTTTAGTCTGTTTGTGCGTGTGTGTGCGAATAGTTAACAATAATATTTGAGGAGGGAGCAGGTATTTGTAGTCCCCTAGGAAAAAGCTCTCTTTTCCAGACCTGAATCCCATCTTTGTGCTCAAGGAATGCCTGAAATGTTAACTTTCCTCCCCCCCTTCTCCCTCTCTTCCTTCCCCCCTTCCTTCTCCATCTCCTCATTGCAGAGGCCAGGATCATCCCAGAAGGAGGTAACTTTTCAAACTTCTTTTAGACGTCTTCAGACATATAAAAAAGCTCAATGAACTTTGCATACATGCTGTACATCAGAAGTAGCCAAATGTG